AAAATACTTTACAAATCTTAAAATGCTATATAAATATTATTACCATTATTGATATGGCAGTTGGAGATGTGCATCTTGAACTCAGAAGGGAGATCAAGACTGAAAATATTGATTTGGGAGTCACCTTTATGAATGTGATAGTTGAAACTGTGCAGTCAACAAAATTGCCAAGGACAAGAATATAGTGAGAGAAGAAGTTGAAAGACATGATGGACAGAACTTTTGTAAGGGGTTGGTAAGAGGCAGAGGAGCCAGAAAAGGATACTGAACAGAAACTTTTAGAGAATAAGTTGTGTGTTGTTTTTGAAGCCATGGAGAGAGTATATGACATAGGGAAGGGAGAATATGCAGTAGGCTGAAGTGGTTAACCTCATTAAATGCTGCTAATGTATTCTCGAGTGTCAGGTTTCTGGTTGCCTTAAGTTTGAGGATAAATGAAAGAGAATACTAATACTGAAAGGTTCAGCACAGGCCAAATTACAGAATCACAGAATTTTATTTTATTTTTACTTTTTAAATCATAGTCATTTCCAGACATGTTCCTTCCTCTTTACATTTTAAACCCTTTTTTCCCACAAACAGCTGAGCGAAAACAAGGGACATGGCGATCACATCTGACAACATGTAAAACATCCTGCCCTTATAATTGTTACTCTCGGGAGTGGTATGTTTCATTTCCTGTTCTCCAGGAGCATTTTTTTTTTGGTGATCATTTAATTTTTCATTGTTTTAGTCATTGGAATAAAAGAATTTTAGAACTTAGAGGTCATCCAGTCCAATGTATACATTTTTCAGATGAGGAAGCCGAGGCCTATGGAAGTTAATTGACAAATTTATACAGTTCATTAGTGGCTCAGGAGTAGAAGCCTTGACTCCACTACTAGCCATGTGCTCTTCTTATTATAGTAGAAATGAATTATTTTCCCTACTTTTTATGAAGAAAATGTTTTTTAGGGCAAATAATCAGTAGTGTAAATTGATTTGAATTCTCAAGAAACAAAATCCTTTGAACATAGTTGGCCTGGGTGTGTTGGGGATTAGAAAGGAGTTTTTGTCTCTTCGGCACTCAATCAGTTGTAGTAGCTGAGGAGGCTTTTCTCTGGGAACTGTTCTAGAAGTGGTACTGCTGTAGGTGCCTTGTAGGTAGGTCATGTTCCTGAAAATCATATGGTCCTGTTTGCTAGGCTGTAGCAGGAGTATAAGACAAAAATTGTCCAAGGATTCCCTGATAAGTACTACTTGTACCTTAACAGCCAGCGTGGTCCCAGTCCTTCCTGGTCCTCTTCCTTCCTGAGCAAAAGCTTTCCAGGGACTGCATCCCAGAAGCACCAGTGCTGCAGTGTGTTGAACTGCCAGTGCCAGGTACAATAGGCTCTAAACTGTCAGTGCAGGGCCAGAGAACTAAGGAACAGTGGGAGTGGGACAGACACATAAGTATGGGGGGCTGTGTAGCACTCCATGAAGCCTGAGGGAAAGAGCACAACACTCAGCTGGGACCAGTTCTGACCACCCAAAAGTGAGTTAAGGCAGAAAGACCTAGGCTGGTGAACCATGAGGAGGCTGAGATACTTTGAGATCCAGCACCCAAGGAAACCACAATCAGAGGGGATGGAGTTAGGAAGTGAGTGATAATGAAAATAAGGGAGGAAAAAGGACTTGAAAGTACCAAAGATTTCAGGAAGAAGAAATCTCAAAGACCTTGAACATAAACAGGTAAATAAACAGAAAAAATAGAAGGAAATATGGCCTACAAATCTAGTAAAGGAGTTCAGGCATCTGTGGATAAGTATTTCAGAATAAAGAGAAATGAGACAGAGGACTATGTGGAATTTGAAGAGAGCGTGGAACTGCAAATCACGATACACTGTTTCTGAGTAGTTTGAAAGAGAAATGAGAATTATGAGAGCAGAATTTATGTCCTGCACAGCAGAAATAATGAGCAGAACAGAAAAACTTGAATCTGATGGGAAATCTCACCAAAAAAAAAAACAACAAAGAAGAAACAGTAGATTGGGAATGTCTAGAAGAAAAAAGCAAAAAAATAATATTAAAAGAAAATATGTTCACTATTCAAGCAAAATATACTGAACTCAAAGACAGAATGCATGGAGACAACCTAAGGATCATGGATCTCTCAGAAGAACACGACAGGACCAAAAAACCTTAACACTATAATGAAAGAAATAATAGAACTGTCTAGAACTTCTGAACATAGAAAATTAAATTCCAACTGAAAGAATTCACAAATTACCTCCAGAAAAAACAACACAACTCAAGTCTACAAACAATAAGACACATAATGGTTAAACTTAACAATTCAATCCAGAAACCACATGTTCTGCAAGTCATCTGGAGAAAGACCCTCAATACAAAGAAAAGGACCTTTGAATAACATAAGACTCTTCTTCAGTCACTGGAATAGGAGGGAATAAAATGTGTGGCAGTGCCACTCAGCATGATTTATCCTGCAAATCTGTGTTTAACCTTATAGGACAAAAGATGGACATTCAGTAATAAAGAAGAGTTTGAAGTATTTTTAGAAAGAAAACCAGAACTGAAGAGATTATTTACTTCGCAAACACCTCAAAATAAAAAAGCAGCAAGCAAAGACAGCAACAGAGTGACAACAGAAAGACTGGTAAGAACCATCATTCTAAATGTATGCAAGGAGACAGGGGTGAAGTCTGGTAGAGCTGACAGTGAAGAGGTGAAGGTGACCTCTATGGTCCCAGAAAGAGAGGAGTCTCTGGAGGAGTGGATGAGGAGGAGGAGGGAAAAAATGAAAAGGGAAGGGAAAAGAAGGAGGTCTTACTTTAAAGATAGGAGGGGTTTCCATGGATGAATGCTATTAGGAGTGTAGGGCATGAGGACTTTACACTGGATGAGGCCTGAAGGATTTGGTGCTTGAAAAGTCTGTTTGTCTTGGGGGAGGGTGGAGGTAGATATGAAACCCCTGGGGGTAACCAGTACCCAGAGGATTTTATACAGCCTGAACACTGGGAGCTTTCCAGGTAAATGTAGAAAAAAGGTCAACAAAACTAGGTATAAATCATTGGTGGGAGAGGAGAGGTACCATGGGGCTATGTCCCCTCTGACATCTTGTTGGCATTGTTCTGAGAGTGAGGCACAATAAAACGGAGGAATCCATGGAGTAAGCCCTACCAGGCAGTGGCAGAAAGCAGCTAGAGGGGAGAGCCTAGAATGAATTCCTTGGAAGCTTTGATTATAGGAAGAATACAGAGAAAAGAGAGAGACCAGATTATTATAGTGGTCATGAATCAGAGAATGAAGATCTAGAGTAAACGGAAAGAAATGGATAATGATGAGAGTAAGAAATCCTTTTTGGAAAGGGGCACACAAAAAGAAATGTAAAAAAAAGCTGATGAACAGTACTAGCTGAAAGGGAGGACAGGAGTGGGAATTCTACTTGACTAAGAAAAAAGGAGGGACAAGAAATATATAACCAGATAAAAGCAAAAAAGAGAGAGAAACACAAAGGGTAGGGGGTAACAGATGAGAAGAAGGGATCAGAGGTGAGGGGAAGAGAGCCAGTGAGAACAGGGAAACTTTACCAAAAAAAAAAAAAGAGTGAAGTAACTGAAGGAACATAATATTCTGTTTACAGCAGAAGGGAAATTTAAATATGAATGGATTAAACATTCAATAAAATGAAAAAGAGTGACAGATTGAATAAGAAAATAAAACCTTACAATCTGTTCTTGTTTGTGCAAAAACTTTTCAATTTAATGTAATCAAAATTATTCATTTTGCATTTCATAATGTTCTCTATCTCCTGTTTGGTCATGAATTCTTCTGTTCCCCATAAATCTGATAGGTAAACTATTCCTTGCTCTCCCAGTCTGTTTATAGTATCAGCCTTTATATCTAAATCATGAACCCATTTTGACTTTATTTTGTTATGTGGTGTGAGATATTGGTCTATTTTACAGTCTGTTCTTACAAGAAACATTTAAAATACAAAGACATATACAAAATAAAACTGATGGGTTGGAAAAAAAATTTACTGTATTTCAAGTGAATAAAAAAAGGAGTTACCATCATACCATCAGACAAAGCAAAAACAAACATTCAAAAAATAGAAAGGGATAAAAAAGAAAATTATATTTTGATGAAAGGAACCATAGATAACAAACCAATATCAATAATAAGCATATATACTCCAAATACCTTAACATCACATTAACTGAGCTTCAAGAAGACCTAGACAATAACACAGTAATGACAAGAGACTTTAGTACTTCTCTATAAGTTTTGGATAAGTCCAACAGAAACAAGAGGGAAAACATGACTGAACAAATTTTTGGAGAAACTAGAATTAAAAGACTTACGGTCTTTTTAGTCTTTTAAGGTCTTTTAAGTCTTCTTAATGGGATAACAAATGAATGCACATATTTCTTTGCACAACATGGGTCTTTTACAAAAATTGACCCTGTACTAGGACACAGAGATATAAACAAATGAAAAAAGGCAGAAATAGTTAATATAGCCTTTACAAAAAGGAGAATTAATAGAATGTGTTTATTTTGCCTTTCCAGTCTTTTGCTTTTAATTTTTTCTACTTTAAAATATTTTATTTTTTTCCAATTACATCTAAAGATAGTTTTCAGCATTTATTTTTATAAGATTTTGAGTTCCAAATTTTTCTCCCTTCCTTCCCTCCCTGAGACAGTGGTAATCTGATATAGGTTATACAGATGCAGTCATGTTAAACATATTTCAACATTAATCATGTTGTGAAAGAAGAATCAGAACAAAAGGGAAAAATCACAAGAAAAAAAAACAAAAAAAGTGAAAATAGTATGCTTCAATCTGCATTCAGACTCCATAGCTCTTCTCTGGATGTGGATAGCATTTTCTATCATGGGTCTTTTAGAACTGTCTTTGATCATTGTATTGCTGAGAAGAACTAAGTCTATCATAGTTGAACATTGCACAATGTTGCTGTTACTGTGTACAATGTTCTGCTGGTTCTCCTCATTTGACTCAGCATCAGTCTTTCCAGGTTTTCTGAAATCTGCCTGCTCATCATTTCTTAGAGTGTGCATATATTTTTGAGGACTCTGGACAATAATGGCACTATCCTGCCCTTCCCTTCCCAAGAGTTATGGGTTTTCTACTTACCTGGTATACCATAGCCCTGTCCTTGAGAAAATTATCTGCCTGCATGATATGCCCTGTAAAAAAATTGTTTTGCAATGAGATAATAAAGGCAACATTTTTATTATATTAAAAGAATCACATTCAGATATATAAGAATCACATTCAGATATGTAAGAATAAGCAAACTCTGATAAATGGTCAAATGACCACTCTAAAGAAGAAATCCAAGCTATCAATAACCATATAAAAAATAGAAATCCAAATTAGAACAGCTTGTTTTTTGGCTAGGCACTGGGGTTAAGTGACTTACTCAGGGTCACACAGGTAATAAGTGTCAAGTGTCTGAGGCCTCATTTGAACTCAGGTCCTCCTGACACCAGGGCCAGCGCTCTATCCACTGTGCCACCTCACTGCCCCTAGAACAGTTTTAAAGTTCTACCCCACATACTATTTGGCAAAGTTCACTAAAAAGGAAAATGACAAGTTCTTAAGGACCTATGGAAAAAACAAGTTTATTAATACGCTATTGGTAGAGCTGTGAACTGCTCTGGCCATTCTGAGAGCAGTTTGGAACTATGCCCAAAAAGCTGTTAACTGCATATACCCTTTAACCCAGCAGTACCACCAATAGTTCTGTACTCCTAAGACATCAAAGAAAGAGGAAAAGATCCAAATGTTGTCATTCACTTGTTTTCAGTCATGTCCAATTCTTTGTGACCTCATTTAGGGTTTTCCTGGCAAAGATACTGGAGTGGTTTGCCATTTCCTTCTCCAAATGTGCAAAAATATTTATAGTAGCTGTTTTTGTAGTGGCAAAAAATTGGAAACTGAGGAGGTGCCTACCAATTGTAGAATGGCTAAACAAGTTATGTTATACAAAAATGATGCTTTGTGCTGTTAGAAGTGATTAAGGGGACACTTTTAGAGAAACCTGGGAAGATTTGTGTGAGCTGATTGAGACTAAGTTGAGCAGAACCAGAAGAAGAATGTATACAGTAACAACAATATTGTGAAGATGATCAAATTTGAAAGACTTTGGAGTCCTGACCAATACAGTAACCCACCATGGTTCCAGGGGACTCATGATGAAACACACCCACATCTGCTCTCAATCTGCACTAAGTCCATCACCTTTCTGCTCTGTAGTAGGTAGTGGTGATGAACTCAGTGCAGATTGATACACTTTTTTGGACATGGCCAATTTGAGAATGTGTTTTATTTTGTGACTTGTTTGTAGCAAGGGTTTCATTTTCTTATTTTCTCTTGGGTGGGGAGAAGGTCAAGGAGATGAGGCAGATCTTCACTTGAAAATAAAATACAGTTTGCGTTTTAAAAGATGAAATAGGGGCAGCTAAGTGGCATAATGGATAGAGCACCTCCTGGAGTCAGGAGGACCTGAATTCAAATGTGGCCTTAGACACTTGACACTAGCTGTGTGACCCTGGGCAAGTCACTTAACCCCATTGCCTAGCCAAAAAAAAAATGAAGTAAAACATCACTCTATTTTAAAAAAAGTCACTTTACCTTGCCATTTCTTCAAGTAGTCATCTATATTTTCTTCCTTTCACAACCGAACTGCTAGAAAGGGTTCCCTTCATTTATTGCCTCCATTTCTTCACCTCCTAATTATTTCCTAATCCCTTTTAATATGACTGTACTTGATTGAAACTGATCTTACAAGCCATTGTTCTCTTTTTAAAAGTTTTATTAATGCCTTTTGTTTTTTATATCATAGTCATTTCTGAAGATATCTGTTCTCCCCTCCCAACCTTAAGATTGGCCTTCAGTTTTAACAAAGAAAAAAAGTTATGCAAAACCAGGTGACAGATCTTCCCTGTGTGCCAGTTTGTACAGTATTATTAGCCTCTAAATGCAGTGGTCTTTTCTTAGTCTTCTTTCTAATTGACTTTTCTGCAGCTCCTGACAGTGTCAACCACCCTGTCTTTCTAGACATCCTCTTCTTTCTTGGCTTCTGTGACACTTTTCTCTTGATTGTCCTTTATCTGACTATTGCTTTTCAGCCTCCTTTGCTGTGTCATCCATCCTTCTACCACTGTGGAGGCATCCTTCAAGATTCTACTTTGTGCCCTCTTTTCTCTCTGTATTCTCTCCCTTGGTCATCTCATTAGCTTCCATGAGTTTGGTTATTGTCTCAATGCAAATGTCTCCCAAATCTCATGTCTGATTTCCACAATGGCATTGCCAACTGCTTGCTAGATAGCTTCATCTAAATTTCCCATAGGCATCTCAAATTCATCATGACCTAAAAGGAAAAAAAGGAAAAAGAAAATTTTTTTATCTATATTTTATTTAGTGTTAATAAACCTAGGAACATAAATTACTTGAGGGAGAACTCTATTTGACAGGAAGTTACTGCGAAAATTGAAAGGCAGTTTGGCGTAAATCAACTTTTAGACCAGTATTTTACACGGTACACCATATTTAGCTCAAGATGGATATGTGTAATGTAAAAGGTCATACTATCAAAAATGTTGGAGAAAAATAAAATTAGGTACCTTTCATAGCTATGGCTAAGAGGAGAATTCTTAAGGGAGAAGGGAATAAGCATTTATGTAGCTCTTACTCTGTGACCGGTGCCATGCTAAGTGCTTCACAAATATTGTTTCATTTTATCTTCACAACAACCCTAAGAGGTAGGTGCTATTATTATTCCCATTTTATAAAAATGGAATATTTTATAATGAGGAAATAGAAGCAAACAGGTTAAGTGACTTGACCAGGGTTATACAGATAGTAAGTGTCTGAAGCTTGATTTGAACTCGTCTTCCTCATTCAAGGTCCAACCCTCTATCCACTACACCACCAGCTGCCTCCCAACCAAACAAGGGATAAAAATGATCACAGCAGATAAAAGAGGAAATGATGATTACATTAAATTTAAAACAAGAACAAAATCAGTGCAACTAGGATAAGAAGGAAAAGTTTCTATTTAGGAAAAAAAATCTTTACATCAAATATTTCTGTTAAGGGTTTTATATTCAAGATATATAAGGAAATAACACAAGACAAAGAGTTCTGTTCCTCAGTAGATAAGTGGTCAAAGGCTATAAACAAATAGTTCTCAAAAGAATTTCAGGCTATTAGTGATTTTCAGCCTGAATAGAATTTCAGGCTGTTATGTGAAACATTGCCCCAGATCACTAATAAGAGAAATTCAAATCAAAAAAATTCTGAGATTTAACCTATATAAATTAGTAAAGATGACAAAAGCTAGAAATAGTCAATACTGGAGGGGTTGTGGGAAGACAAGCACAGTAATATACTGTTGATGGAGCTGTGATTTGGTCCAAACATTCTGGAGAGCAATTTGGAATTATACTTAAAAAACCAATTAAGAAGTATTTATTAAGGATGCACTATGCTTTAGGCACTGTGTTGGGGGCTGCAGATGCAAGGCCAAATATGAAATTGTTCCTCTTTCACATTCCATCAGGGAGGCAACGTGTGTGTGTGTGTGTGTGTGTGTGTGTGTGTGTGTGTGAGCACGCACAGATAAAATATCAGATGATTTAGAGAAAAGGAAGCACCCCTAGATGGAGAGATCAGAAAAGGCTTCTTGTGGCAGGGGGCTTGTGACTAAAATGTCCATACCTTTTAATCCAGTGATACCATAGTTAGGCATATAATTCCTTTTTAAAAATTTTTTTCAGTTAATAAGCATTCATTTTCTTTTCCCTCTCACCTCCTTCCTAGCCCCCATTGAATGAAAAAGAAAAAGAAAAACCTTAGTAACAGTTATCCATTTTATCTTTCCCTCTGCTTGATGACTCCTAACCCTGTTGTTCATCCTTACCATGACTGCTAATCCTGCTACCTCTCATTTCTTTCCCATGCCATCATCATCCCTTTATTGCTTATACTTTATTCTCTTCCCCGTCTCTGCACCTTAGTGAATTAGTTCAGTTCTACACTGTTCTCTTCACTCGTCCTTTGACCCCTTATCCTGTTGATTATCATGCCTTGTGATAACCCAACCTTGGATTATTCACACCGTCCACTGCCTTTGTTTATGTTCATGTACTGAAAAACAGAGCTGGATAAAATCATGAACCTGCTCTGACTAGTTCCACTACAAATTTGTTATATAACCTCAAAAGTGCCATCAGTGCAACAAGATAATCCTTTTATACTACTCTGATAGATTCACTTTACCACTCATCACTAGTTATTCCATACCTTTTCATTTCTCTTCAGGCATTCTATGGCATGCCCACTGTCTCAGCTAATTAAAAAAATGAGACCATTTGCTTCACTGCCATTATTTAGAATAAGGATTATCTATATATGACTACAGAAGAGTTAGAGTAACTTAGGTTTTATTTTATTAAAATTGTTAGCCTTGTATGTATATACTCAGGCTTAATAGTTTGCTCATTTCGAATGGACATCTGCTAAGAATGTGAAAAAAGTAGAGGGGACATGATGGATAGTATTACAAAAGTTTGTTTTTGAAGATAATTCTATCTTCATGCATTTTCCCTTAGAAACAAAGTTATGAGTAGTAGATAGTTTCCTAGGCAGGGCTGTAACAAGTAACCCATAATGTATTCAGCTCAACTGTAATGGTGATATCCTTAATTCTAAAAATAAAATAAAATAAAATAAAATAAAATAAAAATGAGTTTCCTATGATATAGGACCAGCTAAGGCAGAATTTTGAAGTCTACAGTTTCTCCTTGGAATCTTCCTACCCCTTGGTACTCCTCTTTGTAGACTCATAGAGCCTTCATGATGCTCTAAGCCTTCTAGTATTTCATTCCATTTAGATGCTCCATTTAAAAAAAAAGTTTCTTAATCTTTTTTCTCCCCTACTTAAAATTCCCATGAGCTTAGTGGATTGGCTCTTATCTGATGGGATAAATATTAGGAGACTTCTTAAATTAATTTATATTCGGTGAATGAATGTGAGCCCCTAACCCTTTTCAGAAATATTTACATTTTTGAAACAGTGATTTAACTGCCCCAAATAAATCTCCAATTTAGTGGCATTTCAGATTATATAACTAGGTGAAATGACAAAATTCAGGCAACTATAGTTGGAGGATTTTTCTAAGTAGAAAGACTCTTATATTGGCAGGCCAGCTGTGCCTTAGGGGAGCTGTCTCTGATGTCAGTACTTATAACTTATTTCTGTTGTTAATAGCTTATTCTCTTCCTTCACTCCTTAATTTGAAGATTCTTTAAAACTTGCAAGTTTTTCTATGATGATTTCTGTGAGAATGGTGAGGCAAGAGTTGTAGCTATCAGTATTTATAAATTTTATATCAGTTAAGGACTATTTGTTTATGGTTTCACAGGAGCAAAACTGCCTAGAGGGATAATCTTACCCAAGGCAAGCAGATGCTTCTTTCAGCTAATGTCAGTACTCTTCTAGCAATTGCTAGAGGTATACTTCCCAAGTTTCTCTTCAAGCTTTCTCTTATCAATATAGTAATACCTATTTTAAAAAACAATATGTTGTTAGAAGACTTTTCAGAGGTAGGAATTGATCTCAGAGATTTAGGGTTGCATTCTAGCATTTATATTCCATCCTTACTGCACCTCATTAGGACATTCTTCCTTAGAAATATAATGACCAGGGGGTGGAGCCAAGGTGGCAGAGAAGAGGTAGGGACTCATTTGAGCTCTTCCCAAAACTCTTCCACACACTTTTAAATAATTCCCTAAAACAAATTCTGGGGCGGCAGAACCCACAGAAAGACAGGTGAAACAGTTTTCCAGCCCAAGACAACTTACAAGGTCAGCAGGAAAGGTCTGTCACACAGGTGAAAGTGGAGCACAGGCCAGCACAGGCTGCACTAGTGCTGACTGAGCCCCAGCAAGCCAGGAGCAGGCCTTGGGAGAAACTGAATCAGCAGCAGCAGTGGCTGTTTCTGGAGCACTCATCCCACAGACAATAAAGGGGTTGAACAACTTCTCAGAAGGAGATTATAGGATCTCTTTGCTGAAACTGGGGGCAGGATTCTGTGGCTTTGCCCATACTTGGATTTGAATCATAGACCTGGGTCTTAGTCCCAGGGTGAGGAGGAGTACTAGCACACCAGAGCTTGCAGCAGCAGTGGAACAGAGGCTCTCTTCACAGTTCCAGAGCAGACAAGAGTGCTTCTGGTTGTTCATAGACCAGAGTTCAGGCCAGGAGAGTAGTATCTCTCTTTAGATCATACCACCTTGGAAAAACTGAAAACTTAGAAGTATTTCTGAAAACAGCTGCACAAAACCCCAGAAGCTTGGAATAGTATGCCCTCTACCTGGAAGCGGAACCCTACTTTAGCAAAGAGTTAGAAGCCAAGAAATAGGCTGTAAAAAATGAGCAAACAACATAAAAAAAATCTGACTATAGAAAGTTACTGTGGTGACAAGAAGCTCTGAACACATACTCAGAAGAAGACAACAAAGTCAAAACTCCTATGTCTGAAGCCTCAAAGAAAAATATGACTTGGTCTTAGGCCATGGAAGAGCTCAAAAAGGATTTTTAAAATCAAGTAAGAGAGGTAGATGAAAAATTGGGAAGAGAAATGAGAGTGATACAAGAAAATCATGAAAAAAGAGTCAATAGCTTGGTAAAGGAGGCACCAAAAAAAAAACTGAAGAAAATAACACCTTAAAAAACAGAATAGGCCAAATGGTAAAAGAGGTACAAAAATCCAATGAGGAGAAGAATGTCTTGAAAGCAAAATTGGCTAACTAGAAAAATATACAAAAATTCACTGAAAGAAAAGAGCTCTTTAAAAAGTAGAATTGGCCAAATGGAAAAAGAAGTACAAAAGCTCACTGAAGAAAATAATTCCTTAAAAATTAGAATTGAGATACCCTTTGACCCAGCAATACTACTTCTAGGGTTGTATCCCAAAGAGATTATGCAAATGGGAAAAGGACCCACATGTACAAAAATATTTATAGCAGCTCTTTTTTGTGGTGGCCAAGAATTGAAAATTGAGGGGATGCCCATCAACTAGGTATTGGCTGAACAAGTTGTGGTATATGAATGTAATGGAATACTATTGTGCTATAAGAAATGATGAGCAGGTGGACTTCAGAAAAGCCTGGAAAGACTTATATGAACTGATGCTGAGTGAAATGAACAGAACGAGAACATCATACACAGTAAGTCACATAACACGGTGATTAACTTTCACAGACTTATCTCTTCTCAATGATACGAGGATCTAAGACAACTCCAAAAGACTCATGATGGAAAATGCTATCCACATCCAGAGAAAGAACTATGGAGTCTGAATGCAGATCTGAAGCATACTATTTGCTCTCTCTCTCTCTTTTTTGTTTTGTTTCTTCTTTCTTGTGGTTCTTGCCATTTGTTGTAATTCTTCTTTACAACATGACTAATGTGAAAATATTTTAATAAGAATGTATATATACAGCCTATATCAGATTGCATGCCATCTTGAGGAGGGGGGAGGGGAAGGAGGTGGAGAAAATTTAAAACTCAAAAGTTTATGGAAGTGAATGTTGAAAATTAAAAATAAATAAACTAATTTAAAAATTATATTGGCCTTACATATCCATGAACAATAAATATTACTTCAGTTATTTAGATCTGAATTTATTTGTATAAAAAGTGTTTTATATTTATGTTCATATAGTTCCTATGTCTGTTTTGGCAGGTATACTCTCAGGTATTTTATACTGTCTAGTTATTTTAAATGGTCTAAAACAATATTGAATAATATTGCTGACACAGTGTCATTTCCTATTTTTCTCTTTTGATTAAATCTCTTTTAGCTTTAACTTTGTCTTAGATCATGATTGCTACTACTGCTTTTTTTACATGATATATTTGACTCCTTCCCTTTATTTTATTTTTGTGTGTATCTCTCATTTTTATAGCATTTCCTGACAGCAACATACTGTTGAATTCAAAATTTTAATCTGCTATCAGTTTCCATTTTATGGGTAAATTCATCCCATTCACATTCTAAGCTATAGTTAACTTGTTGTGTATTTTCCTCCTTCCTGTTTTTCCTCACTGTCCTTCTCACTCCATTCCTATCCTTCCTGGCTTCTCCACTTTATTTTTACCTGCCACCTTGCCCTCCTGTTCCTTAACCTGTGGACCTCTCCAACAGTCCCTCTTTTTCACTCCTCCCACCCTATCCCCTCGTCCTCTTGTTTCTTTCTGAATTTAGAAGACTTTTATACCTTTCTAGATATATATGTTGTCCCCTCTTTAACCCATCTTGATGAGAGTAAGGTTCCAGTACTCCCCCCCCATTAGTTTCTTCTGTTTCAATTTTTCCTTTTGTGCCTCTTTTGTTTGAGATAATTACTCCTTTTTATCTCTCCCTACAGTTTAATTTTTTTAGAATCACCCCGTCATACTCAGCTCAGCCCAAGCCTTTCTTTCAAACTATCCAAATGAGAATAACAGTCATAAAAGAACTAATAACATTTTCATATATAAGATGTAAATGATTTGACCTTATTGAACCCCTTATAATTGGTCCTCAATGTTTTCTTTATATTTCTTCTGGATGTTATATGTCAAATTTCCCTTAAGTTCTGCTGTTTTTGTCAGCATGTTTTCTTTTAATGTAATTACTTCTTGCTTCTCTTCTTCTGCATTGTTCTGTCCTCCACTTCTGTGTATTTGAATTCCCAATCAGTTTGTCTTCTCTTCTGTTTCTTTGGTAAGATGTGTCATTGCAGATTCAAGTTTTTCTATTCTGTCAGTTATTTCTGTTGTGCAGGCCATATATTCTGCTCTTATAATTTCTCATTTCTCTTTTAAACCACTCAGGAACAACATGTCATGTTTCTATGTTCTCAAATTCCACAGGATCCTCTGTCTCATCAAATATTGAGTCGTTTTCCTTTGTCTTTACAATATTTCTTCACAGAGGTCTGAACTATTTACTACATCTGGAGATTATATTTTCTTCTGTTGTTAATGTTTTCTTTGTTGTTTATCTGCTTATGTTCTAGGTCTTTGTCTTTTCTTCCTCCTGAAATGTTTTGTAATTTCTGTTTTTTCCCCTATTTTTCTCTATTGCTCACTTTCTGGCTCCCTCCTCTCTAATGGTGATTTCCTTAGGGACTGCATCTCAGAACATTTTATTCTCCTTCCACTCTAGGAAAATTATAGTTTAGCCTAGGTCTCGGCTCCAAGTGACTTTTAGGGTGACATAACTGATCCCAGCTGGATGCTGTGCTCTTTAACTAGGCTTAGTGGAGTGCCTCATAGCTACATACAGTGTCCTGTCCTATTAGCTTTGTTCCTCAGTTCCCAGCACTAACAATTCAGAGCACTGTCACTGTCATGCTATTGCAGCTGGGGTTGATTTCTGTCACTTAGAATTTGGATCTAGGGCCCTGGGAGAGGATAGGGTTGAGGTGTATGGTTGAGCTCTTATTTCTAGCCCAGGTACATATTCTGCTTCTTTCGTTCTGTTCCTCTGCTCTCATACAGACATTTTTTTTTTGTGAGGGCAATTAGGGTTAAGTGACTTGCCCAGAATCACACAGCTAGTGAGTGTTATGTGTCTGAGGCCGGATTTGAACTCAGGTCCTCCTAACTCTAGAGCTGGTACTCTATCCACTGTGCCACCTACCTGCTCCGTTACAGACATTTTTTGCAACAGCCAGTGTGAGGACATTGGCTGTCATGGCCTCGGCAAACTTCTGCACTTTGGAGTTTAGGCCAACACAACACCGTAAAGAGGGAGGGGGAGCAAAGTGTATTTTATTGTAAGCCCATGGTTCAGATCAGTGCAGAGGGTTGCTGATCAAGCTCCTAGGGTTTTTTTTTTAACCTACTTTTGGGTCCCTGGTGTCTTGGACCATAGAGATAGTTGAAGTTGCTTCATCTTTAGTGTTTAATTTCTGTTTTGGAGAAGTTTGAAAGGTTATCAAGATAGAGAAGATGTCTAGTCCTCCATCTTGTTGGTCACATGAACCTGGGTCAAGTTGCATCGATAGCAATTCTCTCTCTTGTCTAGTCTGTTCTACTGATCCACTTTTCTATTTTTAAATCAGTACCAAATGAAGATTGCTGCTTTATAATATAATTTTGAGTTCTAGAAATGCTATTCTCCCTTCATCCATACCTTTTTTCATTATCTTCTTTGATATTCTAGATTTTTTGTTTCTTGAAATGAATTTTGTTATTCAGTTCTATAAACTATCACATTGGCATATAAATTATCTTATTGGCAGAGCCAACCATGAGCACTCAATATTCCTTAAGCTATATATAAATGTGTGTGTATGTATACATGTATACATACACATATAACCTACATATGTAATATATATCTATATATGTTATCTCATTTGATTGTCATACTAGATTTCTGAATAAGTGCTACAGAAATTATAATCTCCATTTTACAGATAAGGAGTCTGAGAAAAGTTAAGCGATTTGTCCAGGATCATCACA